AATAATAATAATAAATTGTATAAAATTAAACAAAAATACCTCCAAGTTCACTGCAACTGCAAAAAGGAAGAGGAGGTCCGGCGGGGGAAGAGCCAACTGGCAGTGGAGAACTCGCGACGGCGACGAGGGGTGGCGACGGCTTGTGGACGGCGCGGCTGGGAGGACGGCGTGGCTGAAGGTTCCGGCGGGGTTGGCGACAACGGCGGGGCTGGCGAGGACGTGCGTCGGCGGCGAGGACGGGCGTCGACGGGTGGCGGAGGGCTGGGAGGCTGGGCGAACGACGTGGGTGAAGGTTCCGGCGTGGGTGGCGACGGCGGCGGGGCTGGCGAGGACGTGCGTCGGCGGCGAGGACGTGCGTCGGCGGCGAGGACGGGCGTCGACAGGTGGCGGAGGGCTGGGAGGCTGGGCGGGAGAGAGAATTGGGATTAGGGTAGAATGACGGACGAATGGATGAGAAAAAACCAATCTCGATTTTGAGTAATAATCTGCAACGGATCAGCGACGGAACTGAACATCCGTCGCAAATAATAAGGTCAAAATTTGACCAATTTGAATTTGCGACAGGGGACAATGTTATGTTGCAGAGTTGCGACGGAAAAATTAAATCCGTCGCAGATATTGCGTCTTTTTCCGGAATTATAACTCCGTCGCTGATTCGTTGCAAATCTGCTACGGAAACGGGTCCGTAGCAGATATCCGTTGCAGACCAGACAAATTCTTGTAGTGCCTCTTTTAAAATATTTGTCTCTAATTAATCTAGCCCACAGTGTATCCTCCTTCTGACACTTCCACCATAGTTTAAGTGAGTAGGCTGCTTGAGTGTCCTCTAATGATCTGAGTCCAAGACCTCCTACATCTACACAGAGCACTCCATTTAATCCAGTGTCTTTTTTGAACTCCTTCCTTGCTACCCCAGAAGAAGTCTGCCATTTTTTATTGAGCATTTTAAGAATTGACTTTGGAAGCTCCTGGGCAGCCATAATATGTAATGGAATATCAGATAAGACATGCTTTATTAGGATCAATCTCTCCATGGGATTTAGAAGCTTACTGTACCATGAATTTATTAGACTATCAAAGTGGGCCAAGATTTTGTCACAATGCTTCTGTCTAAGTTTGCCCTTGCATATGGTGGATCCAAGGTATGTGAACGGCATAGTTCCACATTTGATATTTAGTGCTTAGCTCATCTTCTCCCTGACCTGGGTTGGAGTTTTTTTTAGCAGTAGAATTTGATTTTTTTCGTAGTTCATCTGTTGTCCAGACACTGTGGAGTATACATCCAAAGTCCTCCTAACCGTTATCAGGTTTCTTACATCCCCATTAACAAACAAAATGAGATCATTTGCAAATCCAAGGTGTGGTGAAACTGAGATGCCTTTTCCAGCTTTGAAGGAGACCTAAGATTTATTACTTTAAAACATTTAGAAAAAAATAGGAAAGAAATACAATTATTTACGTTTATGGATGAAATATTGGGTGGAGTGTCCAGTCATTACAACAAAATATAACTAACAAAATATAACTAGGAACCTGAGAGTTATTTCCACAAAACTTTCGTCACCCGTGAGTAATTTTCTGGATGAAGACCCCTTCCGTTACTTGCTGCGCTTGAGTTCAAAAGGGCTTCTTTTTCTAATCTTTTTTTATTTCCTTTTTTCATTTGCTTGTTTTAATAAAGGGGTCAATTGGATGATGGGCCAATTTGATATCTGAGCTTGGCCCAATCTTCACTCTCTTCCATTACTTTTAAGCTCAAAAAAAATATATCTGAAAAATCTTTCAAGATGAAATAATACTCTAAAATGATTGTATAATATAAATATACTCAAATTCATGTTTTTATCTATAAAAAGTAAACAATGGCCAAAAATGCTAAATACAACAAAAACATGCTCATTTAAGTATAAAATACATATAAAACATCTTATAAGTACTAAGAAGTGATAGAATAGAATATGACATTTTATGACTCAACACATATGCGTGAGACAAAATGTTCACATCAATTTTTGATGGGGTTGAATGGTGCTTGGTACGGAACCCTGCACTCAAATCTACTGGAAAAGGAATCTGTACCACCCGTCGTAAAAACCTATAACATTCTTGTCTATGATGAGACGACTCTGATCTCCATCTACAAAGGAGAAGGAAGTGATGTAGCTGCTTTCGTGTTTGCGGTGATGAATAAGGTTAAGCCAAGGGAGCTTGTGTGCTCTCATTGTGGCAATACAGGACATGGGATTTATGCTTGCTAAACGCTACATGGATATCCCGAGGGCTAGGTTTTCTGAGATAAGAATGGAAGAGGCAGAGGAAACAAACGTGGGAGGGGAAGCAATCCAGGACGTGGAGTAGGACGATCAATCGAGGGTGCTGGACGGTCAACCGTTAGTGGAAGTTTTGGTAGAGTGCACACCGTGCAGGGGGTGCCGATGAAAAAGGACATTCCCCGCTACCCAATTTTGATGATCCGACCTTGCAACATTGGAACGCGGTTTGTCACGCTCTCTCGTTGTCTCCATGAGACATAAATCTGAAACTTTCAAGAATTCTTGTATCACTACATTGGATTATTGATACTGGTGCATCCAATCACATGACCGGTGATCTTTTGTTATTATATGATGTGGTAGGTGTGTTACCATGTGAAATTGGTTGGCCTGACGGAGAAAGGGTTGTGTTTGTTCAATCTGGAAAGATTTTAACTAAGACCATGACATTGCAGAATGTGTTATTTGTTCTAACTTTAAGTTGTCATTTAAATATTGTGTCACATTTGACAAGGGACTTGAACTATGAGGCAAAGTTCACCAATGATTTGTGTGTATTACAGGACCTAAGTTTGAGGACAATGATTGGTGTGGGTAAACATGAAGGAGGACTGTACTATTTGGAAAATGAGGAAGGAGCATGGTGTATTGTGAAAAGAACAACAACAACACCCAAGTTGATTCCCACTACAATAGGGTCTAGGGAGGGTGTGTGTACGCAGACCTTGCCCCTACTTGGAAGTAGGGAGGCTGTTTCCAAGAGACCCCCGGCTCAACCTGCACAAAAAATATGCTAGGGAACACAGTATAACATAGATAAAACACCAAGTACAATGGAATGAAAGTCTTGCAAGCAATAGCAAAAGATTCCAACCAAACACAACACACTACAAAAACCTTAGTCAGGGTGAGAAGTCCTAAATCTTACCTAATCACCTCCTTCAAATTCTTCCTAGGTCTACCACTTCCCTTACTTCCCCCGATAACCATAATCCTCTCGCATCTCTATACAAGGGCGTTAGCATTCCGCCGTCTCACATGACCAAACCATCTCAACAATACTTCCTGCAACGTATCTTCCACCGGCGCCATGCCTACCTGCCGTCGGATAACTTCGTTCGAAATCCTATCCAATTATTGATGGACACATTGAATTTGATATCTCCCTTGCATGATTGATGGATACACCAAATTTGATATCTCTCGTGCATGGTTGATGGATACACTAAATTTCATATCTTTGCTGTGTTTATCAATCCAACCCTCTGTTGTTTGTTCGTAGTCTGCGCATTCTAAGGCTGAGATTAGCTATGCAAGGTTGATCAAAGAGGTGAAAATTTCATGCAGTAAGGTATGCATACTCCCATCCCCCGACCCCGTTTGTGTAATTTTACTGGTATGGTGTTCTTGTTACGAAACTCGGTCTATCTTTTGTTTTTTGGGGCCTCAAATCATCAATCTCGTTTTGAATTCATTGTGGTTAAAAAAA